TTAATCTTCACATAAACATACTTTGCTGATGCTTCTTCTCTATTTAAAGGTGAGTAAAACTCAATGGGCTTTATTTCACACAGTGTCAGTATAAAAAGACATGACTACAAACTTTAGGTAAATTTAGTCTTTTGGGATAAATTAATTTACCTTTGGCACAATGAGGCCCAACTCTACCACAAGAATTGCTCATGGTTACCAGTGTGGAGTCTGTGTCTGTGCCTGGTATCAGGAAGAATAAGGGGTTCTGAGTTGAACTGCTCTGGTCCTGCCTCAGAAAAACATGTTTGTGTAGTATCTCCTGTTTCAACTGTAAGGCTCAGGAGTTCACCTCGTTACCATAGAAGGAATCTAATGTACCTTGAATCTACATCTCAGTGGGATGTGTATGTTATTTATTTTTTACATCTGGGTGTGCTCAATGTTTTATAAAAAGGAGTAGTCCCAAAAGTTCAACTGGATATTTGGCCAGAGGTTTCTTGATTTGGCCAGGCTCTTTTATTTTGAATAAACCTTCATTGTTCAAGAATAACTTATGTCTGCAGAGTCGTTTTTGATCATCACCTCAAGGCTGCTATTTTGAAGACCCAGAAGAACATTCATCCATCATTTAAGACACTGCAGTGATACAGTATTTTTAAATTAATAATCTGAATAAGTTCTGGTGAAGTCTGTCTCTAAGAACAGATTGGACAAAAGAATATTTCAGGTCAGCAACCTTGAAGTGTTTGATAACAATAAGGCCCCATGCACACTATTACATATATTGGGCCTCATGCAAGAACCGTTGGTACACAGATTTGTTCTTAAATTGTGCGTACGAGTGATTTAGGAGAATTTGTGACATTCACCAATGTTTTCATATTCTAAGATTTTTTTCAGATACGAACAAAATTCAGGAGTGGTCCAGACCTGTCGTATATTTTACCAGCAGTCAGTCTGCTGTTATCCAGACGGGTTTTCTTCACTAATAACTTTATATTTCATTAGTTTGAAGATATTTTGAGTTGAAAATAAATCACACTCCATAATTATGTTGACAATAAGTTATTCTGCTTGAATTATAATTATAATTTTAAATGTAATAATATAGACTAACGATGTAAATTGGTTAAATTAAAATAAATTGGTCGTTAATTTTGTTGTATAGCACTACAATATTAATATGAAGTTAATTGAAGTTTTGAGACATTTTAAAATGCTTTTCTTTTTCAGAAACGCATCCGACACTTGTGCCGGGGGTGCAGTGTGCGACTGCTCCCCTGAATAAGTGAAACCTATGTAGCACAGTTTACACTGAAATTAATAATATTTGACCAAAGAAAAAACGGAGCAGGTCTACAGAGAGAGATAAATATGAATTAGATTTTTATTTCTGTGACTGTAACGACCCACGGGAGACATTAACAGCAGTCGTCATTTCATTATTCGGCTTTAAAGCAGATCCTTTAATTCCACAGCTGATGGTGCTAAAAATGACTTTTTTTTGTTGATCTCCGAGAGCATAACTTCAATCCCAGAACTAGTTCTTCTTTTTTACTTTGCGATGCCACTTATGAATGAACACTTCCTGGTATCTGTGGCAGGAAACATATATCCTTATATGGTGTTTTTGGGGTGGTAATTATGTAAATCACCTCTCCCCGTGCACGAGCAGCTGATACGCATTCATCAGTTTACGCAGCTCATTTACACAG